GGACACCCCGGCGAGAGAACTGCCCGGCCTCCTTCTTTCGCATCATGTCCAATCGCTCGGCCTTCAGCACCAATCAGACTTGTGCTTACTCAGACTTCGGTAACGCCGCCATCCGGCATTCCGGAGCTGTTCCTCTGGATGAGCTCTCTCCACCCGTCACCCGCCTCCGCGTGCTCCTCCAACACTGCACGCAGGAAGGCCTCGCGCTCTTCCGCAGCCTCGATGTGGCAGCTGCTAGCAGGGACTGCATGCACGCAGCTTTCGTCTCGTGTGTGCGTGCGTGCGTGCGTGCGTGCGTGCGTGTGTGCGTGGGTGTGTGTGTGTGTGTGTGTTTGTGTTTATGTCTGTGTACATTCACACAGACAACATAGACACTTACATGCATGCACGTATCATAAAGCTGCAGCATGGACGACGAGAAAGATCAGCTCCTGCAACATGCTGCCATTCAGCGTGCTGGCACAAAGACAAGCTCTGCCCTGTTGCTACGCATGGTGCAGGATCAGGTGATCAGGCCAGCGGCTTTCTGCTTCTTCTCCTTCGAAGCTTCCTGCACGTGGGCCGTCACTAGTAGGAAAGCTTGCGACTCAGAAGCAAGGCGAGTCCTGCTCTGCCCCGCGCTGGGGCTCCTCAGCCTGGTCTGATGCTGATAGCGAAGCCTGTCCGGCTCGCATCATGAAGCCACTCCTCCCTGCCCTACCGCGCTCGGCCGACAGACGGCATTCAAGAAGACATGCCCGGCACTCCCCCGACCGATTGAGGCATACCGTAACTCTGGTAGAGATGCAAATCACGGGCCAAACCAACAAGAAAATTTCGATGCCATCAGCCTTGCAAGCTTCTAGTTCAATGCTGCAGAAGACCGCATCGGCGGATCCGGGCCTCCTTCGATCCGCAGCTGTCCTGCAGAGTGGAGGCAGCTAGAAAAGCATGCGACCCAGAGTGAAGACGCGAGTCCTGCTCTGCCCCACGCCGTGCTTCGTCAACCTTGTGTGCTGGCGAGGCCTGTCCGGCTCGCGTCATGAAGCCATGCCTCCCTGCCCTACCGTGCCCAGCCTAGAATACATGGCGTTTTGCTCCACAGAAGTCAAAGAAAGTATGGTTCACAACAAGCTGCAGAAGACCGCATCGGATCCAGGCCTCCTTGCCCTTTTCGTCGTCGCTGGCCTTCAGGGGCAGTACCGAACCGATGCCAGGAGTTCAGTCAAGAAGTGGTAGAGTCAGAGTCTCGAACAACATGCAAAGCAAAATCGACATCCCCCCAAGACATAACGACCCAGCTCCGGCTGCCCCCTCGCTTCAGAGCAGCACGTGCCAGACGCGTGCCGAAGGTTCGTTGTGCCCCTAGTCCGACAGAGAAGCTAGTCCAACCGTGGGAGCGGATGCAAAAGTGCCCGCGAAATTAAGCTACTCGTCATGATTGGCTACCTGTCTCCAACATGAGCGGCCACTTTTGCTGATTGTGGTGAGAGAATGGGGTCATGGGTGTGTCAAGTTGCTGTTGGCAAGTCCTCCACAAAGTCGCAGACAGCTACAGTTCCGTGTAGCATTTCATCGTTCAGCATTTAACCAGGATCCTGTGCCCGAGGCCTCCATAGGAATCCATTTCGAATCATTTCCATGAAGGTAGCGCTCTCGATCGCAAAGCGTTCGCCGGGGTCATGGTTTCCGAAACTCGACATGATCTCTCTCAAAAGCAAGTTCCGGTCATCGAAGCCGTAGGCCGGACGCTTTTTTCGTGTGCATTTCGTCTGGATCTCCAACGTCACGCCTCTGCTGCTCCTCTTGTCGGCCTGTTTCCTCACTCGGTTATCTGAGTCTGCATCTTTTGTGGATGCTGGCCTATTTGTAACTCATGTGACTCATCTGTCTTTCTCTTGCCTGTGTTGCCTCAAACTTGCCTCAAGGTGCGGGGTCCTACTCAAGATGATTCAAGCAAGCTTTGAAGTTCTCCAAGCCTGGCCTTGGGCCGACGATTCGTCAGGAGGTCGGGGAGGTTCGCATGCCCTCCGCAGGGATGAGATGCCTGAAGAAAGCCACCTTGACTAGACCCTGCCTGGCGCGGCTGTCGCGCGAGGCTTCCGCGCCTCGTGGTCGGGGCCCTGCCGTGGCAGGAGATTTGGCAAGAGCCATCTGACATGATAGACTTTGTCGAGTGCATGCCGCGTTCTACAAGCATGCGGCGGCATCAGGAAACTGTCAGTCCTTCTCGCGCTCCCCACAACAGATGCCGCACCTCAGCAACTAGCATCCGGCGCACTATCCTGTAAGCACCCGCTGCAGCAGCACAACTCAGATACCCTTGTCTGAGCTCGTCAAGCGGCTGTGCTGCACCCATCGCTCCACAAGGCAGCAAAGGATCTAGGCAGTATAGCCCGATGATGGATAGGCCAGTGCTGTAGAACAAGCGACCTACTGCTGCTCAGTGCTGCAAGAACCCCTTGGAACAACCCATACGCATGGTGGCGAAGTCAACAACCAACCCGCAATGTGGCAAGATCTACGTGTAACGCTGCAAGAGGAGAACGAAGCACCAGCATTCGCAAGCTCCACACCCAGAAGCGCACACATAGCGAGAGTCCCAAACTACACGAGACGTACATGTATATCCCAGTGCAACACAGCTCTTGCTTCAATCAATCACAAGAAAGGTTGCACATGGATGCGCCCTTTTCACCCTCTCCAGGGGCCAACAGCTCCTGGAAGTTCTTGCTCCTGAGACAGGAGCCGCCCACCATAATTAAGGTGGATAGATCTACACGGTGCAACTCGGCAGTCGACGAAATGAGAGTGCTGGTCACCATGTACATCCCAGCCTGCAGCACGTCGTCCTGCTCTCCGATCCGCCTCGCACATTGGATCAAGGGATTCTTCTCGAGGCCAAGCCTTAGTTCTCGCTGCGCAGGATCTCTGGGCAGATGAGGCTTGGAAGCTGCGTGCGCGGCATGACACCCAAGCGCCGTGAGATCACGGGTTGATCGACTAGTCCACAGCCTCAATACGTCGCGGACCCTAGGAGCATTGCCATATAATAGTCATAATAGTCATATCATGTCGGTTTTGCCCGAAATCTAAGGGTACGTCGCACATCGAATCATGTGCCTTGAACCTCTTTGGATTCTACACCTAGTCCTGATGGGAATCAATGTCACGGGACCGCGGTATGTGTCCGATTTTCGAGATGGTTTTCGCTGCACTCTCTGCCTGATGTAGAACCATCTACTGATGCGGTCCCATCACGGCAAAGGCTGCTGCCAAGCAGAAGATCGCTCGCAGCCTCACCAAAGTTTCAAAGGGCCCCGGCCAACTGCTGGTCGACCGGGCGTTGCGTTCGTTCATAACGCGCTCACAGGTTGGAGTGGGAGGTCTCGCACGCTCGTGTGTGAGATGCTTTTGCCACCATCTCCCTGAAACTGCAACTACTAGTGCTACTGTGAATTGACTGTTAATGCTAAAGCTGCTGCCACTGTCACCGCTGCTGCTACCGCTGTTTCAAGTTTCTGCTAACACTCCTACGACTAGTAGCCGCTCGCTACTACTACGACTACGACTACGACCACGACCACCACTACCACTACCGCTACCAC